ACCATTTTGGTCAAATACCTGTTGTCATCGTTTCTGGTAGTAGCATGATTTCACATTCATAAAAGTTTTGATCGTTGCTTACAAAAAACTGATCCAAGTGATTTTTGACATTGTTATTTCAAGTAAATGTCTTACAGTTAAAAAAAATTTGTATAGATCAGAACAAGTAATAATCTGAATGTGCTTGATCTAGTGAATATGGTTGGTGTGATAGCAGGTCCCATCTAATTTATAACAGTTTCTGACCAGTTAGCAAACTTGTGTGAAATTTGACATTATTGTGGTAAAACACTACACCTGTTTTGTTGATCAATTCTGGCCACCTTTTCTGTTTGATGATATTACTCAATTTGTTTACTCGATGGCAGTACACTTTCGAATCAATTGTTAAATCGTCTGGTAAAAGCTCCAAAAAAGATTTCCTTAAAATCCCACCAAAGAGCATCTCTCTTTAAGAACATGTGGAACCCATATATCGAGCTTTGAAACAAAACCAATTTGTTTCAAATAATCAAACAGTTCAATTTGACAAATTTAATCTCTTAGTGATTTCATGTGTTGTTATTCGGCAATTTGCTTCAATCAGTACCTTTATTTTGTTTTCATTGGCTTCAATTGGCCATCCAGAACGTGGTGCATCTTCAATATTGAAATTGCCAGAATGAAATTTTGTAAACCAGTTTCAGCACTGTTGTACTGTCAATACATTTTCTCCATACACATCACACAATTTTTTTCTCACTTGAACAGCATTCTTACCTTTTCAGTAATAAAAGAGCAAAATATGCCAAAAATGCTGCTTCTGATCTTCCATATTTGATGGGACACAAAAAATAAACAATTGCACGAAATCATACAAAATTTTTTACAAATAAGTCTTAAAATGCTAGCTGTCAAAATATATAATGATAGAATGAATGAATGAAAATGGTGGGAAAAATACTACTAATCCCTCTAGTGGTAAAAAAAAAATAACTGAAATTACTTTCCAAACAATCCAATAGTTTTATCCTAAACATAAACACATCTTGCAAACAATCAAGTACACCAAACATTTAAACATATGCTATCCCATATGCAGAAGTATTTTATAAAGATAGTGCTGCCAACTGTAAGGCTTTTTGACTGCCAATCGACTTATACATATTACATTTGTATAAATCACAAAAGCACAATTCCCCACAAGAATTATGAACTTGTTAATTATTACAATACAGTAGATCCCCCTATAAAACCGTTTCCTATAGTTATGATTCCTATAAAAATTGTGGCAGTACAGTAGATCCCCCTATAAAACCGTTTCCTATAGTTATGATTCCTATAAAAATTGTGGCAGTATCCGTAAACAATGGTAAAAACAACTCCTATAATACGTAAAACGTCATCGGGCAGCCGAACTACTTTCCCGCCGTCCGTAGCGCCACGCTACGGACGTTTAGGCGGATAAATTGAGTTTAGTATCGTCTGTTCATATAATTATATATAAATTAGGTACTGTACATATAATTATATATTAATTATATATAAATTAGGTACTGTACATATAATTATATATTAACTTAATTTATTGTAACTTTATTATAATTATATATATACTTTCCGCCGTCCAGCGCCACGCTACAGAGAGTTTAGGCGAGTAAGTTGAGTTTACTATCGTCTGTACAGTATGTAAATTAGGTACCGTAAGTCTAATACAGTACTGTAATTTTATACATTTCTTGTGAAAGAAACATTTCTTATTTAACGGCCATAAAAATTATTTATATTAAGGATGTCTCCAAAGGTCAACGAAGTTTTCGCAGAAAAATAATATCAGAAATCGCGGCCGCGGTTTGATGCGCTGTTCCGCGACGAAACCAAGCTTTAGCAACGGGCGTAGTCGAACGGTACACACTCGGTAAGCAATCCTACAATTTTTTGTTTATAACGTAGTTTATACGGATTATTTTCAAAAAAATATACGTATTTTGGAAATGTTGAGTCGAATTAGTCTAGAATCGATTAATTTTATGAAAGAAAACCTTTCAAACAGCCGTAGTCCGTAAACTATGATTCCTACAAAATTGATTCATAAAGAACGGAACGTATCTACCGTCTTATAGGGGGATCTACTGTATTAGTTTGATTCATTTTCACATAGCAAAAAATTGTCTTAGTAACATGATTTCTCACATTATACAAGTTTATATAGAATCATCTTAATTTAATTTATTTAAAAATCTTTTAAACAAATACTTACTTTCAAGTTTGGTATTTCAAAGATACGAAGATCATCTGTAATTGTGCCAACAACAACAGCTATTTTATTTTCCCGTCCAGGTTTTTTCATCATTCGAACCTAGAAACAAAAATGTAATAATATGCACATATATCTTTCAACACAAATACATAATATTTCATTTTAAAAAGCCAAAGTGTAAATAATTTTAATTTTTTAAAATGTAAATTAATTTGTAATTTAATAGAAATATCACTTACCAGTCTTGCAAGAGACATAGGTGGACGATTAGTTTTGCTCATGAATAAACGCTTCAAAATAATCTTATTAAATTTTGCCCCAGTTCGTCTTGCCATAAAACGATACAACTACAATTTGAAATACTTTGTCAATACATTTAATATTAAAAAAATTCAATTGTTTAATTTAAAATAACAACAAATTGTAAAGTATATCAGAAAAAATGCTATATTTATTTATATTATATCAAGATATTCCAATCTTTGAATATTTTCATGCATTTCAATATGTTGGGGCAAGTGAAATAAATGAACTAACACAATTTATTCACCAACTAGTACATTTTAGTTAAAAATAATTACCAACAGCACTGAGGCATTTATCCAATGCTTTTATCAAGCTATGGGACAAATGGGTATATTCAAAAGCTCAGCATCAACACTTTAGCAACAGAAAAAATTGCATGATGTCTTATGAAAATATACTGATATATTAAAATATTCTATTAATGTATTAACCCAATTTTAATTTATTCAGAAACCATTCATCAACAAATAAATTAAATTCAAATTGTCAATGCAAAATACTCTCTTACAAGTTTCATGATTGTTTGCTGGCATGTCAAGCACCAAGACACTTGCAGTTGGCTTGCAACCAGAAGTTGCCCAGGATTTTGAATACACCCAATGCCTCAGTGCTGGTGAATTCACACGCACAGTATTCCTTTTGCTTCTGACAAAAGAAATCTGTGACCCCCCAATCCTGCACTTTATCATCAAATGAGAACCTGTGATCTTTCAACAATTTTTTCATGTCACTAAAAAACAAAGTTGCATAGGTAAAGATCAGGCCTATAAGGAAATGATTGAGTGATCCACAATTTCTCACTTGAAAGTTTGAGTGTGTCTGAAGTCATCCTGACTTTATGTGGTCTCAACATGGTCTTAGAACAAGATTATGCTGTTGGCATAATCTTGTTCTAAGACCATGTTGAGACCACATAAAGTTAAACTTGAGCCCTTGTTTTTGATTGATTGCTGTGAGGAGATATTGAATGACTAGTCTTCACAGTTTAAGCCAATTCATCAATACTCACTCATTGATTTTGTTAGATTAATACATTCATCTTTGCTATTGTCTCACATGTAGTGAAATGATGTGCTGTACCATCTTACACAATTTCAAGTTTTCACAGCCTTCTTTAATTCAGCAACTGTTACATTCTTTAAATACAGGTTTTTATAAGCAGATCAAAACTTCCACTCAGTTTCCACTATTTTACAACTACCAAAAGTTAAGTATTCATCAAGCTGACACTAGCACCACTAGTGACAATATCTAAACCATGTATGCCCCATTACTGCAAATGGAACTAAAGCAATGTTTATCAAACTGTGCCACACGGACTTTTCAGTCTGAAAATAGGTGAATCATGTGTTGGGCTTACTGCTATATTACATGATGTCTCCAAATTTCAGTCCAAAAGAACAAACTTTTGTAAAAAGAAAGTTCTCAAGAAATATTCCAGTAATGTTGCATGACTGGGAAGTTATACAGATTACTCTCTGAGGAATTTCAGCACTTTTGAGTATACAGTAGAGCGTCGATTATCCGAAAGAATTCCAGTCGGCAAATTAAAATTTTCGCCAGTGCTGTGGCGCTGCAATCTTTGGCTATGTCTTGGACTACTCAAATATTTTACGTTTTTGATACTAAATTAACTTCTGAAGTATAATTTTTTATTGTTTTTATATTTTTCAATATTTTTAACGATACAATAGTCACGATTATTATTTTATTATTACATTATTATTATTTTAAAAAGTTTACATTAGGCTTAACATCGACGAAAATTCAACGCAAAGCGACACGCAACAGAGAAAAATGGGATAGGTTAATATATTTTTTCGTACATAATCGGTTATCCGAAATATCAACTTTCTGAACAACCTCAGTCCCCAATTGATTTGGATAATCAACGCTCTACTGTATATCTGAACTCAGGGGACCAAGATGAGTTCAACAGTACCCTGCTTTTGGACTGGAGATCAAAGATAAGAAAATCATCAGATTAACAATTTCTTTGTTAATCTGATCATTACAGTGTTTTTTTAGTAGTTTGCACATTTTCACTGCTAGGTGGCATTGCTAGCAATTTAGTTTGCATTCTTTACTGCTAGATGGTGCTACTAGCAACTACGGTGCCTTCTGTGTAGAATGCAGTTTAATTTTCTTTTTTATGTTTTCTATGCAGCAGAATGCAGCTTTAAAACAAAGATTAGCCCGACAGCCTGTTTTCCCTAGGTGAATTTTGAAACTTCCTTAAGCCAGCATTAGTAGTAGTCAAAGATAAGGAAACGTGTATCGAGTGGTTATAAGATCAGGGTCTCCTTTAAAAAACAAAAAGTGTAATACGTGGGGGGGACAAAAAAACTGGATTTTTTGTATAAAAACTTTTTTACAAAATTCCTTCAGTCACCTTCAAAGTACTTTCTATTAGATGTGATGCACTTGTGAAGTCTTTTTCCCCTCTGTTTGAAGCATCTCTGGAACTCTTCAACCTTGATATCGTCCAGTGCCCTTAGCGAAGCTGTTTTTACCACCTCCACATCATCAAAATGCTTCCCTTTTAGATTTTTCTTCATTCTCGGAAACAGAAAAAAGTTGCACGGGGTTAGGTCTGGTGAATACGGAGGGTGGGGAATAACAGGCTATCCCCAAAAGGCCAAATAGTGGGTCACTCAAAAGGCTGTGTGTGCGGGGCGTTGTTGTGATGAAGGAACCAGTCACCCGATCACCAAAGCTCTGGGCATTTCCTTTGCACATCCTCTCACATACATCTTAACACTTTTTTTGGCAGATTTTTTCAACGTTTTCATCGTTTTGAGATGTTGAAGGATGCCCAGAACTTCGCAGGCAGAACAAAATAACAGTAAGAGAAACACAACACTACACTCAAACGTAAACCTACAAACTGATGCCATTTGCACAGTTGTTTTGTGAAGGTCTCTACTAACCCCACGTAACGGGAGAACTCTCTACTACGTCTACAAATGGCAGTGCGCTGTCAGTTTGGTTGTTTTTGAGTCCCTCCTCGTAGATGCAAAGAGTGGACTGAAGAGAAAGATAAAGGCAAAGAACGGGGGATGCCTGCAATGCCAGAAGCACAGGCAGGAACAGCAAATTACTACTGATACTTTCTTTCAGCAAGTCCGAATCTCACCACGGAAAGCAATCATTCTAATGTACTGCTGGGCGCACCAGATGAAACAAGATAAAGCAATCCAAAAATTGTTGCTTGAAGATGAAAAGAACTCCCCAAACACCGTGGTAGATTGATTCAATTACTATCACAAAGTAACCATGACTGCACTGGATCAGTGTTTCTCAACGGGGCAATATTGCCACCATGTGGGCATTTTTCCATGCTGAGGGGGTGATTAGTAACAATTTATATTTTATTTTTTTTGGGGGGGGCGAAAAACAATTTTCTGGGTGATATAGTAAAACATTATATTAAGAATAATTAGATATTTTATTCATTATATTGTACAATAATTAAACAAATAACATTATACTAGTCACTAGTCTATTCAATGTAGTATGAATTTGGCGTTAGCCTTGTCCCTCGGCATTGGAATTTTGTAGTGAAGGGGGTGATACTACTACGTAACGGTCTCATTGAAGAGAGTGACGATTCGTTAAAGGTTGAGAAACACTGCACTAGATGCAGAGTACAAAAAAGAAAAAATTGGCGGACCTGGTGATATAGTGGAAGTTGATGAAATGAAATTAGGATGCCGAAAGTACAACTGTGGCAGGATGGTGGATGGACACTGGTTGTTGGGCACAATCGACTGAGAAGGAGGCTACTGATTAGAAATATGTCCCGAAAACTGCTGAGATAAGCTGACATTAGTTACTCTCATACAGAAGCATGTGGAACACGGAACTACTATCATCACAGATCTTCGGAACAGGATATAGTGGATTAGAAGAATATGGATACGAGCACAAAATCATTAATCATAGCAAGAATTTTGTAAATCCCAAAGATGCTGCCAATATACAAACTGTAGAATCTAACTGGCAACCACCACGAAAGGAACTCAGCCATGGAGGAATAAAAGACAATAATCTGGCTTCACATCTACATAAGTATCTGTGGCTCTGTGATGCACAGCAACAGGATGTGGACCCCTTCCTCAAGTTGACTGAGAACATTAAGCAACAGTATCCTCTGCAGATGTGTAAGTTGTTAAAGTTTGATTATCAAGAAATATGATGAGATAATGAAATACTTTTTAATAGGGACAATATGAATAAAAAATCAGAAAACACATTATTATAATACAAACATCTTCTAAATGTAACACTATGTAGAGTAATAACTTTCCACAAAAAACCTTTATCAGTGTTGTGTTCGTTACAATATCCACTAATGTTTTCAACCTCCACCGAGGTCTTCTTCAGGTGCTGACTAAGTGTTGTCTCCCCTTGACCGTTAGAACGTCCTCGTCCAAGATGTAAATATTGCGCGTATCACGTTTTACCCCCTGCCCGTCCCTGATTGAATTCCTTGAATAGGTATCTCCACGCCTGCTTGATTGTTTCTCCGTCTTTAAAGTTGATACAGGTGCCCCCAACATTGTCCTTGTAGATCTCCCAGGCTTCCAGATGATGGATGTGATCAATTTGAAATGCCTGTCTGATTAATTTGGTGTTCGGGAGGTCCGCCGGAATTTCAGGGTCGCTAATGTACGCCATTAAGGTGATGGTTTGCCTGTTATTTTTAATGCCCAATTGATGCTTGCGTAACCATTTTTGTGTTAAGCGCACGCTAGAACCAATATAAACTAAGTTTCTTTGGAATCTTATCATCCCTGATGGGAATGGAGTAAACCCCTGGAGCTCTGTTGAGATCTATCGTGTCTTTAGCATTGCACAGCAGGTCGTAAATAGTGCCAGTATTCCTGTACGCAATCTTTGTGTGATTATGGCAAGCAATCTCCCTGTATAGGGGGTCCAAATGTTGGTTGAACCGGATAACCGTGCGCCTCCCATTCTTAACGGGCTGCTGTCCGCTGTCTGGCATAGTCAGGGGGTAGCACTGCTGTGTGGGGGAAGACAGTTGGTGCAGACACAGGCCAAACTGTGAACACAGAACACCTTGGTGGAGGTCGAAAATGTTAGTGGATATTGTAACAAACACAACACCGATGAAGGTTTTTTTGTGGACAGTCAAACACATTATTTACTGCTACATAGAAGAAGATATACCATATTTAGTCGCATATAGAATGAGTGAGACTTTAAAAATCAAAATAAAGAAAATTAGATTTATTAATACAATTCTAATTTTATTTTGTTTAATCACAAAATATAAAATGCACGTAAAGGCACACATTGTCCCACAAAAATTACTAGCATTTTAAACTTTACGGAAAAAACTTGTAAAATCAAATCAAATTGCTCACGTAATATGAACAAGTTGATTTTACAAGAATAATTGGGAATGTTTTTTTGTCAATTCTTAACAATCAAATTCACTCTTCGTTGATTAAACTTATGAGTTTCTCCAAATTCTGATTTCCAAATAATCATCTGTTTTCATGTGGGAATGGATTAAAACTTAATCGGGCTCCCACGTGATTTTGGAATTCAATTCAAAAGCTTTGCTTTTCCTATTGCTATTCATCTTTACTCTTGACAATACATAAGAATGATTCAAACAACCCAGATAAAATACTTTAGTTTTTAATTTTAAACACCAGAATGTGAGAATCTGGTAAAAAATGCAAATACACAGTTTACAAAAATTATTGCAAAAACAAAAAGAATCCTTCGCTCGCACATATAGGACAACCTAGGTTTTTGAAGCAATGAAATATGAATAAAAACCTCATCTTATATGTGAGTAAATAAGGTATGTAACCGTACCCAGATGATGTGGTGTCCTATAAATGTGTTAATTTAATGATATGATGAGTACATTTTTTTTCTCGCTTAAACTTTTGTTCCAATTTATCTCAACTGAATTTGTACTTTACATGACTTTTAAGCTGAATTAAAAAAGAATAGAATGCACTGAACTGAAGAATGCCTTTCAGCGCATTCTATTCTATTGTAGTTCATTCTATTCTACAGTGTATTCTACTCTAACCTAAGGCATAGAATGCACTGTGAAAGGCAAGAAATCGTTAAGCCGATAACTTTTTTATCTTTGGTCTCAGGTCCAAAAGTAGGATACTGTTGAACTCATCTCTGTCCAGAGTTCAGATATATACTCAAAATCCCGAAATTTCACAGGGAGTAATCTATATCAACGGTCCCCAACCTTTTTATCGCCGCGGACCGGTTAACGTTTGATAATTTTACCACGGCCCACTGAGGGGGGACGATGATTGTTTATATTTTAGATTGATTTAATTTAATAATTTTAATTTAATTGTATTTAAACATGCCTTCAAAATAAAATACAATTACACCAAAAAAATGAATATAACGTGATTTAACATTTTAACTCACTAGAACGCTAAATCAATGCGAACCCTGAGCTTGTTTCTTTGCAACGAGACGGTTCCATCTGAAGGTAATAGGAAACAATGACACCCGAAGTGTGTTTCTTATGTCCAGTTTATTCCGTTGTTCCGTCGTCCATTAAAAGTCGCACAAACCCGAGGAAATACACCATAATAAAATGGAAATAATTTAATGTTCCTTGGGCGGTCCAGTACCATTTGATCCACGGACCGGTACCGGTCCGCGGCCCGAGGGTTGGGGACCACTGATCTATATAACTTCCCATGACTGATGTAAGATATGCTTCTAAGTAGTCATGATGACACATTTTGTACACATCTACTATGCTACTCTGTGACAAAAACAAGCTTAAGCTAATAGTGTCTCCAACAAGTCCTAAATTTTTTGTTTACAGTACTTTTTACATGGGTTGCTCCCAAAAAATTCTTCATTTTGTTAAACACTATGAAATATGAATATGTCTATTAAAAAGAAAATTAACAGAAAATGAATAATGGTATGCTTCTATAGTTTTATCAACAGATAAATCACACAAAGTTTACAATTTCAATACTTAAAATGAAATAAAGTAATCAGATTATGTATGGGTAAAGTATCCACAACTATTCTTCAGTATGGTGCATAAATCATCATTTTACTTCACTTCATCAATTATTAAAACTGTAAACCGTAAAGTATCACATATGATTTATCAGTTGTCTCAATAAATACAGCGTAATGTATTTTAGTAATTTTTCTATTATGGAAATGAACATAAACAGCTTGTAACCAGTATTGTTGTTACTGCAAATATGAAATAATAAACAGTTTATACATTGGACTATTCATATTCGGGTAAATATTTCTCTTTTTTTAGCCACGAAATTAAAAACTAACAAATTACCTTGACTAAAAGCCTCAGGTATATATCATTACTCTTCGGAGCACGTCGGACGACTTTCCGATCATGTTTATGATTAATGTCGATACCCTAAAAATAACAAAAATTATAAATTTATAAACATTTATAATTAGTGAATTATAAAGATTAACAGTTAAGAACAAAACGGAATGGATTAAAACGGATTAAAATAACACGCCACGAAACTCACCATCTTCCACTTTGATAACAAATGGCCGCAAACGAGAACAAAACTTCAGTGTTGCCAACAGAAGAAAGTTGAAAAATTTTTAGCGAAATTTTAAATTTTGTGAAAATAACTGAAGTCACAAAAAATAATGTGAATTTAATTATTAACTTATTGAAATTTTAATGATTTAAATATAATTTAAATTATATACGACGTAATTATGAATTACAGAATTTGTCTTTATTTTTCAAAAGAACGAAAAAAAAATTAATAATTACATTAATTTAAGTTTGTTAATTTATTAACCATTTTTAATTAACTAATAATTAATTTTAACTATTATTAATTTAGCTTGTTATCAAAATTTATAATTACATTAATTTAATTTACAGTATTATTCAGATATAATTGTATTGATAGTACAGTACATTGGTTTTTTAACCCAATCCGATATTGTAAAGTGCGGCCGGATGGCCGAGCGGTCAAGGTAGCAGTCTACCGCTCTGGGAGACTCGGGCTCGAATCCGAACGGGTCGAAAAATCCCCAGGAATTTTTCGGGTGCGGTCCGTCCGGATATGTCGGGCCCGTCCCTCACCACCCGGCAGCCCCATTGTGGGCCCGGCCGAACCCATAATGGGCTTGCATAAAGAGGCCCTCTTAGTGCCCACAGGGCGGAAAGAGTTAAAAAAAATACTGTAAAGTAGTAAAAGTAATTAAAACATGTAAAATTGATATGTGTTACCTTTTCCTTTTTTTTTTTTTTTTACTAAAATTAGCTGCTATACCAGATACTGTAATTGTCAATAATTAAAGATACCCTGCCGCCCTATATGATACCAAATTATTTTATCACACTCCTACTGTATAATATATTGGCATACCAGATTAAAGTTAAAATACAACAATATTAAAGGCTTCTCGTAGAATTGATCTAGAGCCATAAATTGATGTTATTTTTACTAATAAAAAATTAAGACTGCTTTCATTTTCCTTGCTGTTATATATATGTTATCGGCCAAACCCGATTTCAGGCCAAACTGATTTATGTACTACAAATAGGCGCCAGTGTAAAAAAAAATTATTTTGTATAATTCGAAATGCCACCACTGTACATCCGGTGATTAAAGTGTACCTAGGTAACCCCAATGTCGGTGCTTCGGTTAGGTTGGCTTGGTTAACAACATTTTTTAGTAGACGTTTCCATTTTTTTCCTTTTGTTCAAGAACTACAGTGAATCAATAACTAGTGACGTTAAACAATGGGCGGCCTGCCGGCAGCTCTCCTCCGGGAGGAGTCTGCCGGGAGCACGAACAGTCCGAAGTGCCGCCATTGGGGTTACCTATTAAAAACGTAAATACACTTTAACCCACCCTGTAAAAACAAATAAAAGATTAAATATTTTATATGTTACACTAAGAAACACAAACAAGTTCAGTTTTAATTTTAGTTTGACTTGTTATTTTTATTATTTCGTTTGAATTTTTGAAAATATTATCGAAAGTTATTTACCTTTAAAAGTGCATAGTTTAATAAAAATAACTGATAAGTACTGATTAACTTATTTTTATTTTATAGCTTTGTACAAGTATTGTGTCACTTCTAATCAATACCGTAATATGAAAAGAAATTCTTTTCATAATTTGGAAATTTCTTGAATATCTCAATGCAAAATCTTCAATGTTTACAATACATGTCTCATATATTATAATATTGGTATTCAAAAAAATTGATTTATTTATTAATGTCGACTTACCTAACGCTTTAGTAATATAAAATAGTCAACAAACAAAATGTTATTGTTCAGTGTACTGTACATTATTTAAAAGCTTGGGTGATCATTTTTTCGTGATTCCTTATTGCTTTCGCTTAACAAATATTGATGAAAGAAATTTTAATAGAAAGTAATTATTGAAATAATTAAAATTACAGCTGTTTTAAAAACTTCTGTCAAGTTATTGATGGAATAAAGCAACGCAACACTTGGGCGACATGCCAAGAGGCCCTAATTAGGTGTTAGACACGTGAAGAAAACACGCGGAAATTCCACTTGGTCAGCCAGTTGATGATGCCCGAACCCGTGACCATCGAATATTATTGTGCGGGTTTATCCATTCGGACACTGGTGACTGCTGTAAATTATTAAATTTATTTCTCTTGTATTATTATTATTATTATTATATTAGTATCTATATATTTTCTTAATTAATTAATTAGAGAAAGATAAAAAATGTTACTGTTGCATAAAACCTTTAAAAATTAACCAACATTGCTTGTACGGGAAGCCAAATATGTATAGCTTAATAACAATTTTCTAAATTGATAAGACTAATTAAACTAAAGTCAAAGGTTTAATGTGCAAAATATGGATGGCAATTCAAACGTTTCAGTGGAAATAACAGAAAAACAAATATGTTTGAACTGTTTATTTCGTCCAATATTTTCTCTAGTCAAAACTGTCGGACTAGATATATTAGAATCGTGTGAAAAACAAAGTAATTTTAAAACACTAGCATTAAAAATCTATTTGTCTTTCGTTCAGTTAGTTTTCTTCGTCCATGCTTCTTCGAAAGCGACAGAAATTGTTTATAAATTAAAAGGAATTCAAATTGGATGCCTGGAAGACCATTCCTCTCAACAAGGCACAGTATTCTTCGCTAGCTTATTTTGTATAGTTTCAAGTGGCTGTTTCTTAATTTCTATCAGTTTGAAAGGTAAAAAAATTTCATTAAATCTCTCAGTCGATTTCGAAGAATATTGTCAAGTAATTAAATATCAAAAGAAAATTATTTTGTTGTGGGGTTCCATTCACTTTTTCATCAGTTGTATATTTCCTACAAGTTTGTTACTGATCCATTTCCTGCGTAGTGATTACAAAAGTTTCATTCGTATTTTCTGCGGATCTTTAAATGCTTTAAATAGCATATTTGCAATCAATCTAATCATATTCTTATTAATGCCAGCTAATGTCATTTTATATTTGATTCAAATAAAGATGTCGAAAATGGAAGAATCTACCGGATATACCATATCCTCAGTGGATCCTCGAAATATACAGCGAAATACTAAGAATCACGAAAAAATGTATCAATTTTTAAACCATATAAACGATACCTTCGAAAATTGTTTATTTGCTGTTTATTTCACGACTGTTTATGCATTGAGCTTATGTTTTTATAACGTAACAATCGGAGGATCAGAAATTCTGTTTTTGAAGGGCTTTTTAATCCCAGTTACTATTATCATTACTCTTACTCTCGTCTATCTTGCATACGAAATTTCGAAACTTTTTATCCTGGTAAGGTTTTTTTTAAATTAAAATATTTCCTATTCTTCAATATAAAATATAAATGCTTTCTTCAAAAGTGATTGGCTAAAAAAACTAATAATTGCATTATTTTTAACCCCTTTAATTCTAGTTTTATGGATCTTATCAAGAAATCAGAATATTCTCTATTTCTTCTTTGCCCATTCAAGTGAAATTAAAGGTATATTTTCATTTGTTGAATAAATATCATAAAAATAATTTTAATAAAAATAATAATAATAACAAAATTAATTTCAGATGTTATGTTTCATGAAGCTATTTTTTGACAAAGAGAAAGCTTTTCGTGTGGCGGATTTTTTACTTTTTCAAGAACCTTTCCTTTAAGAGTTCGTAATAATGTATCATATAATATTTAAATATATTTTAATTAAAACGAACTTTATTATTTACTTTTTTTTTTAGATTACCGAATCTCTCTACAGCACATTTTCTGCCTTGTTGGAACTAAGAAGTTTAATGGAGGAGAAAAAATCGTGCAGAGATATTTACTTGGCTCAAAATACCAGCTCTAAATTCAATGCAAATTCTATTCTTAACTTATAAATCCGTCTATAATGCATTTTCTAATTCGAATAATTTGTTTTCGTGCAATAAGATTAGATTAGATTGATGGAATAATTTAAGCAGCGTAACACATGGGCGATCTGCGAAGAGGGATGGATCCCTTCGCAGATCGCCCATATGCCAATTGGGAGGATTTTCTATGAGAATATGGTCCCTATTTAGATGTTATACACCTGAAAAAATCCGGAAACTCCACGTGGACGGCCCGTTAATGAGGTAGTGAGATGCGAACCCACTGTTCAACGGTTTTTATGTTCTCGGCTTCTGCCGGGCAACCTGAATTAATTTCGATAATTTGAAATATTTAATTATAATTACTTATTGAAACTCTTAGATCAATGGAATGTCACCACCACTGACTTGAGATAATGCCTTAACGTTGTTTTGAAGATCGTCATTAGTCTCAAACCTCTGCCCTCCTAGCCACGTTATCNGACATTTATTCTAATTGAGTTCTCATAATAATCAATTATTTTTCCAGACATTTTTCCAATATCTAATAACAAAATTTTCAATAGAAAGTCAGTTAATGCTACATTTTTCTTTTATTTTTTATTGATATATTTTAGAAGTCACCGAAGACAAGTTTAAAAATTCTACATAAAAATTTATATATGAATTTTGTATGAAATTGTTTAAATTCGTATAATTTTATATGAAATTTATGCTTACAAAACAAGCAACGAAAAATATGATAAAAATATTTTTAAAAAAGAATAAAGAATTTCATTTAGTAGATTTTTATCGCAGAATGCTCATCTTGCTTGCTTAATTACTCTCACCTGGTGGTACATTATTGGTTATACATATCTCACAAGCTAGCGTGTTTCGACCACATTACAACCTCTTACATTATACATCAGCTATGATAGGTTTTTCTCCTACATCCTGCACCTGGCAGACAAAACATTCTTTCAATTGAAACATTAAAACTAAAGAAACCTACAAAATAGTTTTGCCATTTTTTCGAAATATGCAATACGCGGAAGAATATATTTATATATATGCAATGCACTGTATTTTTAGAATGTGCTTTTAGGTTATTAAAACTATTTTTCTACGAAAGGTCATTTTATAATATAAACTCTGTTAAGCGTAACACGTAGAGATTTACTTGATTAGCTTACAATTTGATATTTTCCACATGCGCTTTACAATTTCCATAACCTATACCAACTGATTATTATTATGGAGCATCCTGAGTATAGAGAAAAGCTAACTTCTCCGGGTTGTAAAACGTAATAAACCAGTATACTTGATATATTCCATTCAGCTGTTGGCAATATTAATCTTCAGACTCGTATGATAGAATATGAAGAGAGAAAATTGAATATTAATACATGTAACTCATTATGCAAAACGCAATAAAATTTTCGTTATATTCCGATTTATTTTAACACTTTGACAATTGCGGAAACTTTGCGTGAAAGCCTTAATTCTTCATTAAAATCTCTTAACATTTAATTAAATTATGTTCATTATCAGAAGAAATACTCAAAATTACAATTACTTTAAATAATAATTAATAAAAATTTAATTTAATTTGCATTACGTTAATATGTATTATTCATAAAATAAATTATTTAATGCACATTAGCATAATAATATTAAATAAAAATTAAAACATTTGATATATTCAATTATATATTTAAAATTTAAATTTTTACTTCTATTATCCGAAAAAAAGAAGCATTATTTTTTATTTTTATAAAAATATTGATCCTTATAATATGTTGAAAAGCTGTTATTCAAATATAAACAGTGGAAACGAAGATGAATATAAATTTCTCTAATTTCAATATAAACTGAAATATAGATTTATGTGGGTAGGGAAAAAAAGAAAAGATTGAATTGAAGAATAAAAATAGATGAACATGGTAGGAATATAATCAGTAGAAATTCACTCGATTTATCTAAGAAAAGGAACCTGAACAAGTAAAGATTTTCATTTGATGACGCACAAGACGATAAATTACCAAGTTTAATCAAACCTTACAATATTAAATTCCTTGTTTGAAAGATTTCTACAGACTTCCTTGAAGATAATTACCAATAAAAGGAAATTCTTAAGCTATCTTACTTGAGTGATTGGCCTGTAAAGATTTGTTTTCGAACATACCATTCCTTACCTTTGTTCATTTGTAGCCACTACTTTATAATAGCATCATTTCTTTTCTATTTATATTCATTCCATATGAGAATTTCTACTTCAAAGATTATATTAAGATCGTGTTTTTTGTACAAAGCTACAAAATTAGTTTCACTTATTTTTATTGGTCATTTAAATATTTAAAAAATATATATAGGTTTAATTCTGTATTGTCAGAGTAAAATGCTTTAATTTACTATTTTGCTTGTTCAAAACGTAATATAAACAGTGATTTTATATTTAAAAAATATATATATATTTAATTCTGTATTGTCAGAGTAAAATGCTTTAATTTACTATTTTGCTTGTTCAAAACGTAATATAAACAGTGATTTTAGTCATTGCCACTATTTAAGCGAAATATTGTAGAAAATATTATACATTTTGTAAGAAATGGTTTGAAAGTCAACTATACCATGTCGTCCTGAGCATAAAAAAGCCCTTTTTTCAAACCAATTGTGGGTTCGGCTAGGTCCACAATGGGGCGATTGGGTTAGAGACGGGCCAACACATTCTGAACAGGCCCCGAAAATTCCTGGGGTTTTGCAGCCTGCCTGGATTCGATTCCAGGTCTATAAGAGTGGTATGTAGACAAAGGCCATCCTGAGGCCATCCGGTTAACGTAGGATATTAGTAATAGCACTGGTGCCATCTGATACAATGGATGATACCATGCTAATAGTATCACTTAATACAGCACTTCAGAATGTATGAGAAGAAGCTCCAGGAAAATGCTGTAGTTTTATAACAACTTTATTAAAATTTTAAACTATTATGATTAATATTGTGATATTAATTGTGTTACTCCCCTAATAGTTAAAGAAAAAAATAAATGCAAATGACCGATGTAAGAGAGAGGTCAAAAGACAGTTTGATATAAAATATGATGGTCTCGATTTCATGGTATTAAACTTGAAAAGGAAGATAAAGAAAAAAGTTGTTATTATAAAACTTTATCGATTGCCTGTAATCGATCACTGGACAACATCATATCATTTATATCAATAACAGATTTTATAATATTGAACATCCATAGGAGTAAATGGCAACTATGGTGTTGAGGCCAATTCGAATAAATAACTGCTTGCTTAAAAGTAGTTATAAAAAAAAATGCATCAATGAGTTGCTTAACTTTCTAGGCAACATTTAAAACTGCGTGTGGCACCATCTATTATGATATTTATATGATAAATAAAAACTATGCTGTAAGGAACTGACCCAATTCTGGTGTTTAAAAAAAATAAATAAATAAATTATGGGCTGTAACAGTGGAGAATTCTATAAATCAAGCATGGACAACCTGCAATCCTCAGTGACTTTTATGATCTGCATAATATAAGATCCTTAAACATATTTGTCATAGTTAATTTACAAGTCAATATGTCCAGTGAACAAATCATAAAGCTATTAGCAATATATGTAAAAATTAGTTATCCATAATATTCACGTTTCCTTTACAAATTAATAAATTAGTAAAAATTTAATTCATCCTAATTAAAATTGGGACAATGTGTTAAAATTTTAATCACTTCCAAATAATCTACTCATTAACAGTAAATATAATTGTGTTACTTTGATGCAAAAGACCAGTAGCACAAAGTACTATTGTATTAATATAACTAGATTTAATAAATTAATATTTTTAGTTTCTTTAAGTTTCTAATTGGCATTTTATATTATCTTCATTAGATAATTTAATTCATTATACACCTTTGTAATACAATTTTTGAGTTTTTCTTTTTTATTAATATTATTTACATTGTAAAAGTTACATGCAGAAAAAAGAAGTAAATACTTTTACTATTTAAAAAATAATTTCAAGTTCAATGAAACTTTACAAATTGTATGAGACATTTTTTTTTATATGAAACATATTAAATTCTTTTTACATTTCAGCAAATGTTCTCAGTCTGTAAAGAATATTGTTATATAGATAAACAGAGCACATTTTATGTTGCAATTACTAAGCAAATATACTCTTAAAATATTCAAATTAAAATGAAAAACACAAATACAAAAAGAAATTATAAAATGTAAAACCATTTTATTGATATAGAAAAACGTTATTGCTGTTACAAACTTTATATATACAAATTTTATACTAATGGAGGGCAGGATTTACTGTAGAAGTACAAATTAATTTAATTAGTTGTATATTCAAGATAGGAACTTAGATGAGGTAATACTGAGTAAAATATTTGGAATGTCGATCATGTTTGTTTTCAGCCAGTGTTGCTTAATTAGGAAAAATTTAACAATTTACAACATTAAACTTGAAACATGATGATTTGGCAACTTGATGAAAATAAATATAAATTAATTAATGAATGATAATGTTGTTATATAACAAAAACTTACATGAAAATGGAATTTTGCTGGTCAAAATTTGGCACAATTTGTTTTTACTTATAAAGCTCAAATTTTTTATAAAACTTCCAGAGAAATATGATAAAAAAACCACATTTGATTTCATAATCATCTCTAGGATACTAACAAACATTTTTTTAAAATTGTTAAATTTGAATTTACTGTGCTACAGTATACTAGATGAAGTATATAATCAACAACAGTAAGTTTTAAAACTGTACACATAAATTTCCAGTTGTGCTCTGCTGTATACCCTGAGTTATTTATTACACCTTAGCCAATTGGATGGATATTTCCCTCCGGCTAATTAAAAAAATGATTAAGTAAATGTGTATGTATGTATATATATATATATACATATTTATATATATATATATGTACTATAAAAAATGATACTTAAACAATCCAAGTCCCCTAACATGGTACAAAAAATATTTTATGTTTTTTGGCATCCATGGTATCTATGTCTTATACATAACACTTTTCAACAATTAACATAATAACACAAACACATACAGTACAGTACATAAACATACATGTATATACAAGTATGTAAAAATAAAGTTTATGAAATATTTAACATTATTCTAAGATTTTATTAAGCAATAAATATTGGCCTACTTTTAGGTAAAACTAACATTTTTAATTTTTAATGAAATTTTATTTCATATCAAGGTTTTGAATGTTAAACATTATATTTTATTATGCCCCAAATTTTCGTATTAATTAGCACAATCGTATCTAACAAACAATAACAATGATGCAATTGCACTAATAAATAGACCAATATTTACTGTTTAAAAAATGTTAACATCATTATTTAACATTAATAGAGTATATTCTTAATCTAAAATTGAATGCAATCTTTATATATCTACACTATCTTGTTTTAATTCAAGAAATTGATATGGAACATGTATTGTATGATTTTTATATTCTACAATCAAATGACCTCTTCGTGCAGATGCTCCAACAACTAATACTGACTCTCCTTTTAACAGTATCACATCAGCATTTCCTTCCTCTATTAAAAATTAATTAAAATTTATAATTTGTAAGGATTAGAATTAATTAATTATAAAAATTTTTAAATATTTATAAGTATATACCTGGATAATTCATCTTCATTATTCTTGACTGTGGATAGCCCATTTTTGTATTTCCTGAAACAGTGTAAGGCCGACTTGGTGGGACAGGTGGAGGGCGTTCCTTTTAAATTAAAAAACATCATATTTAGAGTTTTACAAAAATAAAAGAAATTAGAAATTTAAATTTTAAAATATTTAAATTTTGAATAAAAAATGATAAGAGAAAACTAAAAGTTTGCCATTATTATAACTGGTACTACTTTCTAAATTCACATTTTAATATGCATGAAAATAAATATAAATAATGTTAAAAGATAAATAAAATTTCCATCTTTAGAGCACTATCAAATAAGTTGTGATTCAATTCAGCCTGTATTTAATTCAAATATGGGAAGTACAATGTAAATCAATGTTATAAATCAAATGAAAAATGTGAAGTAGATGAATTTAAAAATAGAGAAACGTAGAGGAATAAGAAAAGATCGATATTCAGTGATAAAAATTGCAAATTGGAAAAAATTCTTGCCTCTTGATAAAAATCAAGAGGCAAGAATGAGAGATGAAAAATACAAACTTTTAAGTTGTAAACACCTGTGTTTAACAATGATTCATTGAATACTCTGAATGAACACTATATTTGTGAGAACTGAATATAGAGCAGATAAACTATAATTAGCATTCACAAATGTGAAAAAAATAATTGATAAATGGTTACAGCAAATCTCAAACTATTAAAATTAAGTTAAAAACTATAATTAAATCAATTATTATAACTATTATTATTACTCATTAAAAACATATGGTTTTGTATTATAAACATTAATCTACTCTATATCTCACCAAATCTAATCCAAATAATGAACAGGTCTGCTGAATAGTTTTCTGATCACATTTTTCTAGATCAGGGGGTGGTGTTCCAGCTATTGGTTGAGGTCGAGGTCTTGAGCATAATCCTTGGGTTGAAGTATTTACAGTTGTTGAAGATTGAGGTCTAATAATAATAAATTTGATTAAGATATATTTGAATTCAAATATATTTTAATAATTACATTAATTATTTAGCATATACCTAGTAGTTTTAACTCTTGCCTGAATTTGCAAATTTCTTTTTAAGGTAAGCCAATGACACCTGCGAAAATGCCATCCTCTCCATACAGACTGAATGAGAACAGAGGCATTGTGACGTCTTTCCACCCTTAATAATTCTAACTGCTGTCTAGCTCCTTCACTGTAAAGTTATTTTATAACATTTACATGATTTTTATGAGGCACTATTGTTTGCTTTTAATTAATAACATAAAACAGTAATTCTAATGATACCTAAGGAAAATATGACGTTTTCCCATTGACCAAGCTGTAGATGCATGTGATAAAGAACATTTTTCAGTTGCTCTCACAAAATATTCTAAAATTAACTAAAAAAATTTTTTTAATGTAATAATTTAAATTTTATAAAAATATATTATATTTTTATTTACCTTTATTTTATCTGTCATTATTTCAACAATTTTAATATTTTTAAAATTAAAAAT